CTTAAATTTTAGACAGATAGGCACTACATAAATACTTGTTGATTGAAGACACTCTTTGATCTCAAGTTGGGGACTAGGTTTACACACGTGGAACAACCATTGCAGAAATGCAGCCGCCCTTTCATCCTACTGTTATTCATGACATAAGGAAACGTTCATGAAGTTGTAGTGACACTTTGGTTTACTAGGAGTGTCTTTTGGATCAAAAAGTTCCTCCAGGGTGCCATGGAAATTTCTGTTTCTCTGTAGCTAATGTTTGCTATCACCAGAGACTGTGTTGGAGTACAGCCAACCAAATGGAATTGGCTAGTAAAAGCTTTTGTGGGTGAGCATTTGGAAACAAGCTTCATGACCATTTGCTAGCAAAACCTCAGCAGGAGGAATTTTAACCAACCTAAGTTAATGTAAAGGTTTGATTTGAAAGGGTCTGGAGGGGCAGGGGAAATAAAATGCTTGATGAAGTATGTAACATCCCATATTCTTTAATAGTAAAAATAAAAGTGTTAAAGCAAACTAAATATGGCCTGAGAGGAACCCTGTACTTCTATATTTGAGTCCTTGTGGATGAACTGTAACCTAGATTAATAGTCAGATAAAATTGAAAACCTAACTTAGGAGTATGAGCCTGTAACAATAACTGAGCCTTGGCCAATCACAGTGGCCAAATTTCAGCCACTCATAGACTGCTAAGTGTTCAAACTGTGTTCAAATAAGGTAAACACCAACCTGTAACCAATCCAGCTGTTTCTGTACCTCACTGTCAATTTCTGTACCTGATTTCCGTTTTTTTGTCTATAACTCTTCTTTCATCACGTGGCTACGCTGCAGTCTCTGTGAATCTGCTGTGAATCTGGGGCTGCCTGATTCACGAATCGTTCATTGCTCAATTAAACTACTTTAAAGTTAATTCAGCTGAAGTTTTTATTTTGTCAAAAGTTAGCTTTTCTTGTTGCAAAACTACTCATCAGCTCTTCAGGTAGAAACAGATGCTTAGGCAGATAGCCAGTCTTTGAAAGGGCGGAAACTCCAAGCAGCTGCACTGGAGTACATACAGTAAGGTTCGATACTATGCAGGACCGTCAGTGAGTCCCTTGGTTCCTTCAGTGTGATTCAGGAGTGGGGTCACACAAGGAAACTTCAAAACCAAACTAAGTAAAAACACAATTTCCAAGGAACATAAACTATAACTTTATACGATCTAATGTTACATGAAAAATGCACATTACTTTGATTCAAAAATCAGCAATTACTTTACATTTATAACCTTCAAATTGGTTACAACATTCCTTTATCTTATTCAGCATTCTTGCTGAAGATGAGCTTTCCCACGTGAAGTGCAATTTTGTCTTCAACTTTTAATTCCTCTGGATACAGAAGAAAAGCTCTGGGCCCTTAATTGAGCAATTATTATTTCTTAAGTGAACATAGAGTTTGAGGATAGTGCCAAAATCTTCCTTTCATCCAGAGAACAAGTCTAACATAAGCAGCAGCATAAGTGTTGTCTGGCGGCACCCCAGTTTTAGGTACAAGAGCCAAGTCAAGACTGAAAGGGGAACTCATTCCTCACCTCTACTCACTCCCTGGCATCTCCTAAGGTTCTTGAATGAATGCCAATTAGGGCCGATTTGTATGTCTCCTTGGAGGTTTTAGATAACTTCACTAAGACTTATTTGTTTTTCTCATTTAGTCTGTTTCTCCAGAGTAGGATTTGCAAACTTGCTGCTGAATATGCTGTTTGCAGTTCATTGCTAGGTTTCCATACTGACATAAAGCATTGGTATTTGAAAAATTCATTAAGAAGTGGCTCACCTTAATTCCTAGATCTAAATCTGTGGTGTGGTTCTATCACCTTTTCTACAATGTTGTCTCAGAATTTAAGAAAGGAAAATCAAGAGTTCATATGCTAACATTTCATGGAATATGCCTACACAAAGGATTGCTGCTTCATGGCTTGTGCCATTGTTTAAGCTATTCTAATTGTTTTCAAGTTTTAAATACAGATCTGGAATTCAATTCTCAGGAACTCCTATCATTTGTCTTAGTTTTCTAAGACGTTTACTGTCTCCATTACATAAAAAGACCTTCAAATATTTGAAGATAGGTTCCATGCTTCCTTTATATGTATATATACTTTTAATTAAACTTCTCTTATTCCTTCTGCTACTCCTAAGGTTACAGGGCTTCCAAACTGTAACATTAATGAGAAGTTAGCTTTTTCAATAAGCACATTTTGAATACAGTCTGCTAATACTGACCTCAATCATAGTTAAAAATATATAAGACCTGCACTTTAAATATAATCTTTTCAAGGTTTGATTAGATTTTGATTGCTGTAATTAGTCATCTGTAATACATAAGACATAATCTAGAATTTGCTCTTTAAACATCAGAGTGATAAATCCAGCTACAGAAAGCATCTTTTTGGTTGCCTCTTAATGAAAATATTACTAGACCCTACTAAGTGGTGATTGAAAAAACATGCTGAAATATTACTGTCAGCTACTGGAGTAAAACTTCTCACCAGAGAACTATCACAACTTCAGGATAAAAATGATTGCTACCTAAATACAAATTGTAGCAGCCATTAAAACTGTTAGAAAGACCTTAGATCACTTTGCTTCTTAGAGTTTAAAAAATTTTTACTACACAGTATCAAATTAAAATGTAGTCACTGCTTGCAAAATTCGAAACATTTATGAAAGTATAATTAACTTATACTTTAAATCAGAATTCAGGACAGTTTGAATAATCCTTATATGCCCACAAAAATTTTTTCTAGTCTTTTACCAAATACTAAAGTGATGATTTGTCCAACAATGTAGATGTTTAATATTCACCAGTATTATCAACAACAACGTATCATGCTTTTACTTCTCATTAAAATTGCTGTATTACTGAAGCTTGACCAAATTTCCTTCATGCTTGGACATCTTTTTAGGTATAATATTCTACAGTTTTCCTCTTCTATCAGATTTTGCTTTATCTTTATTTCCCTTCCTTCTCTGACCTGTATTCAAGAAATAGAAAATGGCTCTTTGATGTGCCACTCCCAAGTATGTTCAGATAAAAGGTAAACAATTCAATAGACTTGTTGATGAGAATTAACATTTGAACACTGGAGGTTGTTTCCTTTACTCATACACTCTCCTAGTGAGGATAGGGGACCCAAGGTAGTGACTGGCAGGAGTAAACTGGTGAAAAACTTCTAAAAAAAAGAAATGGTAGAGAAAATAGCAAAAAAAATTCTTTTTTAAATCAATGAAGTAGGGAAGTCCAAACATATATTCTAATCAAGTCTTATACTTGTCCAATAGTTATAAGACTCTCTGAAAACATTTATATATGTGGGTGGAGGCAAGTTGCCCATTAAATTGTAAGAGGTGTTATCAGATTCATCAGGACTTGGTTGTAAATTTGACTACACAGTTTGGCTCATAGAGAAATGAGGAGGAAATATCTGATTAAAGTGTGCATTGCTGCTGAGGCAACTGAATGTTGCCATAGCAATTGAGATGAAATGTGCAAGAAGTGAGATAATTAAATCTAACCCCTTTAGTAGTTTTGACAGTCAATGCACTGCCAATAGAAAAAGTTATCTACAGTATTAAGATAAAACACATTCCTCATGGAACGTCTCCTTACTAGTATTTTGTTGTTTCTTTTCTAAATACATTGCTTTAGGTGTCTAATTTGAATGTTCTCTTTTAATAATCAAATACAGTTTTGACCTTGGTCTGCCTAGACTTTCTGCTGGTTTATTATATCATGGGAACAGACATCTATAAAAAATATCCATTTTTTTCCCCTCTAGTTCTTAAAAAAAGTATACTAAAGCCAAAGCTGTCACATTTGAGCTTAGAATTCAATAATATCTAGAACGTGCTGCCCTCTTCAGGAGCTGGTGCTTAAAAATACTCTCTTTTTTAGCAGACTGATATGAGTTATAATATCAAAATTGTATTGATAATTCTTTAGAAATAAGTTCCATGTAAAATAAAGTATTTCTATGTTTAAAATTTTTTACATTAAGAGCTTGCATTAAAAATCAATACATACAACATTTTGAAAGAAATTGTTAATATTTATAATTAAATACAAACTAATGATTTCCTTAAACTATTGTCATAGAGAGAATTCCTGAATCATTACAGAATTTGACTTCCATATTTAGTATTCAAATTTTTTAAGACAAAAATTGTCTAAAAGAGAAAATATTTTCTATGTGAAAATCTAAGTAGGACATCCTTCAAATCCCACTTTTATTCTTCAACAACAAAAACAACAACAAAACCAACTTTTTAATTTGGGAACATTAGTGTTTATAGTTTGAAATTTTAGCTAGTTTTCATTTCCAGAAACAATACATTTCTTGGGAATAATGATTCCAAAGATATCTTAACACATCATAATGTTTATTCAAAATTACTTCACTAGAGAAAACTTCTAAAGGTCTGAAATATCACTATTGAGAAAATTCAAGCAAATCTCTTTCATATATATCTACTAAAATTTCCTCAGCTATTATATAGTTTTGACAGAGAGAAATGAACTCAGTGTATTTTTCTCCAAATTAGGTTTTTATACTTTAAAAAACTGATCAATATTAATAGCATTAATTATCAGGATGTGAGAAAAGAGTATTTTCCCTTAAAGAGTTTTAGGTATAGCTGTCTCATCTCTATTAATAAAAAATTCAAATGAGCTGAAGGGCTGAGTGAAAAAAATATATATTGACAATGTTCTCCTAATTCTACAATATTTCTTTTGTGGAAAATAAAATCGTTTATTCCTGTATTTGAAAGTACTTATCAAAACAAGTGCTTAATCCTATGGTAGCTCTGTCCATAGTCATATATGTTCAAGAATTCTTAGAACACTGATTTGTGTTTTCTGTTATAGATTTACTTTATTTTTGTTTTGCTGCTGATGCATTACATTTGGCAGTTAGGATCCCTGTGGATGGAGGTATAATAAATAATAACATTTTCTTTACTTTCCAGGGTATTTATGGCACAATGAAAAATTTCATCTTTCCCAGAATGGTAAGTAAAGAGTTCTTTCTGTATTTGATAGTACTGAACACAAACAAGAAAAGGTGAATCGTTATAATAAAACTGGAGTATCATTCACTAAATGTATTGAGTCATCTGATAATTATAATGTAGCTTATACTTTTGCAAATAAATGGATGCTGTATTCAAATTCTATAATTATTCCAAAATTCTCACCAAATATACAACAGGATTTTCACAGGAAATATAAGGTTTTGCTTTCTCTGTTGGATTGCAGTTGATCACAGTAGATCCAACATTTTGTTTTCTGGGGTAATTCATTTTAAAATTTATACAGATATAGAAATAAATGTGGTTTACATTCCATGAGCAGAAAAAGAAAGCGTTATCTGTGATACAAATTGAGAGTTGGTAAGAGTCCTTTGGAATTTTTACTGTTACATAAAAACTGATTGTAATTTATGTTTGACTGGGGCTTTGCAGAATCTGTGAATTTTAAAATATTTATTTTCTAAAAGTATATATCATAACTTCTAGGCAAGCTAGCCACTATATGATTTTGGTTAAACATAAAGTTTTTTTGTCTTTATATTTTTATGACTTAAACAGGAAATAGTTTTAGTCTTTATCATAACCTCTTTACAATTCAAATACTAAAAATTAATCTTATTAAATGGGAAAGGTCAGTGTAAAATGGTATTTCCTAGGTAGTTATTACTGTCTCCTATGATGCTCTTTATTTTTCCAGTGGTTTAAGAGTATTCCCTATAAAAAGAAGGAATTTCTCACTGTAGAAAAAAAAATCACTTTGACATCAGAGTGTTACGTTAAGTGAAAAAGCAGGGTACAGAACTACATACATTACATGTTGTGTGCATGTGCGCTTATATATGGAGAGGAGAGAGATTTGGTAGTATATCTTAAGCTTAGAAAAATTAGACACAAAAGGCCGGGCGCGGTGGCTCATGCCTGCAATCCCAGCACTTTGGGAGGCCGAGGCGGGTGGATCACGAGGTCAGAAGATGGAGACCATCCTGGCTAACCTGGTGAAACCCCGTCTCTACTAAAAATACAAAAAATTAGCCGGGCGTGGTGGCGGGCACCTGTAATCCCAGCCGCTAGGGAGGCTGAGGCAGGAGAATCGCAGGAACCCCGGAGGCGGAGCTTGCAGTAAGCCGAGATCGCACCACTGCACTCCAGCCTGGGCGACAGAGCGAGACTTCGTCTCAAAAAAAAAAAAAAAAAAGAAAAGAAAAGAAAAGTAAAAGGAAAAAAGACACAAAAGGTACACAAAAGAATGGGAATATTGGTAGTTTCGTAGTCTTAATTCTTCATTTTTTACATTTCCTATAATTAAATATATATATTATTTTTATAACTAGAACAAAAACATTATTTGAATAATAAGCTATTCAAAAGAGTGTATTACTAAATAAATACGTATATATAAAATTGGGAAATACCTCTTTGTGCCAACTGCATAACCAATTAAAAAAAAAATCTTCAGCTGGGCATGGTAGCTCACGCCTGTAATCCCAACACTTTGAGAGGCCAAGGCAGGTGAATCACCTGAGGTCAGGAGTTTGAAACCAGCCTGGCCAACATGGTGAAACCCCATCTCTACTAAAAATATAAAAATTAGCTGGGTGTGGTGGCGAGTCCCTATAATCCCAGCTACTTGGGAGGCTGAGGCAACAGAGTCGCTTGAACCCAGGAGGCGGAGGTTGCAGTGAGCCAAGACTGCACCACTGCACTTCAGCCTCGGGGACAGAGCAAGACTCAGTCTCAAAAAAAAAAAAAAAAAAAAGGCGGGTGCGGTGGCTCACGCCTGTAATCCCAGCACTTTGGTAGGCCGAGTTGGGCAGATCACAAGGTCAGAAGTTCGAGACCAGCCTGGCCAATATGGTGAAACACCTTCTCTATTAAAAATACAAAAATTGGCCAGGCTTAGTGGCGCGCCTGTAGTCCCAGCTACGCGAGAGGCTGAGGCAGGAGAATCGCCTGAACCCAAGAAGTGGAGGTTGCAGTGAGCTGAGATTGCACCACTGCACTCCAGCCTGGGCAACAGAGCAAGACTCCATAAAAATAAAAATAAAAAAATAAAAAGTAGATAACGAGGCAAATATAAAGAAATTTTATCAAAAAATTGCTTTTAACCTAAAATAATGTTAATAAATCATTTATTAATAATAATAATAAATGGCACTATTAGAATATTTTTGATATTAAAAATTCTGCTCCAGCAATTTATTATAGGGCAGTACTTAGCATAAATGTATAAATTTTAGTTATATCTCTCTCGACACTTTAGTTCTCTAGAACTAAGTCAAAAATTTTAGAAGAAATTTAGGAAAAAAGTCTCTAGCATGCATCTAATATTGCTCACATAAATGCTTCCCAAGTTTTTCTTTCCATCCTATTAGTTCTCAGTTTACATAAAATTATAATAGAAATGTTTCTCTAATTATGTAGCCAAAAACTAGAAGGATTCTAGGAGGAATGCATTGAGTTAAAGGATATTTTCAGCTACTCACCAACAGTAAGAATTGAGGGACCAAGATTAGCTGTATGATTTTCAGTAAGATACATCATATATGTGGGTTTAAAATTCCTGAGTGGTTAGAGGGTTATACTATAAGATTTTTTAAATAAAATCTTAAATTTCTTTCTAGACCAAGAATTTTACAATAAAATTTCATATCCTTAAACTGAATATACATAGCATAAAATAACATTGAGAGACTTGGAGTCATTAGAATGAAAAAGACTGTAATGATTAAAGGGGTAAATTTCATTCATTTGTAAAATTCACATAAATGAAAGTCTCATCCATATTTCACTGAAAGTCTTGTCCAATTGTATTGTGTAAATAAGAGATTATATATTGTGTATTTTGATAATATTCCTTCCATATTACTATATTTAAAATGTACCCAAAATTTAACCTGAATTTTCTCACTTTACTCTGAATGAGATAACATTGTAAATGGCCTATAAGATCTATAAGATAAAATCCAGCATCAATCTTTCCTAAACAGTGGGGAGCCAAATTCACACTGATTTGTATATGGAAATTTATATTTCTTTCTTTTTTTTTAATTTTTTTATTTTTTTGAGACAGAATCTTGCTCTGTTGCTCAGGCTAGAGTGCAGTGGCATGATCTCAGCTCACTGCCAGTTCCGCCTCCCGGGTTCACGCCATTTTCCTGCCTCAGCCTCCCAAGTAGCTGGGACTACAGGCACTCACCACCACGCCCAGCTAATTTTTGTATTTTTAGTAGAGATGAGGTTTCACCGTGTTAGCCAGGATGGTCTCCATCTCCTGAACTCGTGATCCACCCACCTTGGCCTCCCAAAGTCCTGGGATTACAGGCATGAGTCACCACACCCAGCTGGAAATTTATATTTTTAATAGGTTTAGACTGCCAGATTACTAATTTGATATACTGGGATCAAATATTTAAATATATAATTTCTTTTTTTGCATCTACTCCGTAAACTCTTTAGTCCAACATATCATGACATTTAGAAGAAAAATGAACCTCTTGTCTATAACCAAAATCAGGGACAATGTAACAAATTATTTGATTTTTCTTTTTTTTTTTTGAGACGGAGTCTCGCTCTGTCGCCCAGGCTGGGGTGCAGTGGCCAGATCTCAGCTCACTGCAAGCTCCGCCTCCCAGGTTTACACCATTCTCCTGCCTCAGTCTCCCGAGTAGCTGGGACTACAGGCGCCCGCCACCTCGCCCGGCTAATTTTTTGTATTTTTAGTAGAGACGGGGTTTCACCGTATTCGCCAGGATGGTCTCGATCTCCTGACCTCGTGATCCGCCCGTCTCGGCCTCCCAAACTGCTGGGATTACAGGCTTGAGCCACCGCACCCGGCACAAATTATTGAATAAATAAAATATTGTTCATTCAAACTATTTATTTCTGATTTGTAAGTGTGCTAATTTAACCGGACAGACAAAGTTCTGAATACTATGTAAACTAAATTGAATTGCAAATACATATTTTATTGACAGGTATTATTAAAGCTGAACTTTAAAACAATAAATCTTCAGCCATCCAATTTTTTCTAAGATATTGATGAGAAAATAAAATAAATATTATAATGTAATTAATCTACCCTTCAAGAAAATAGATCCTTTCATTTCCAATTCTGGTTGTACTTAATGAATAAAGGTTGAATGCATATTATGTTAATAGTCATGATATATACACTTCAAAGAACAAAAGTAAAACATACTTTATTTCTGAAAATGTTAATGATGATTTATTATCTTATTTCATTAAGGACAAAAGCTCCACATTATAGTCAACTATAGCCAATAGTCATTTTGTCATTAATCTTAAAATTTCACAAGTTTCCAATGTATCAAGTGTTAACTTTTAGGTCAGACAATAATAGTATAAAATAATTGTTAATTGGCCAACAGGTTGATTACTTTTAAGATGTGAAAAAAGCAAAGATAAAAACAGTCTTCTCCTTTTCCTTCAATTAAAATTGCATCCAATTATTCTTGTAGATTATAGATCTCTTTTGGGATTTCTGGTTTCATACAACTTTTTGGTTCATTTCACAGGAATAATATTCATTTTAATTAGCAAAAAAACAATTGATGAGCTTTTTTACAAGAGGGAGTTCACTCTGAGTGCTGATCACTGCCACTAGATTATCCTGTGGTTTTTTTTTAACGGTCTTGCTTTTAAAGCAGTTAGTTGAATACGTTATCTGTTAGTAGCCATTGCCTTTGAAGACAGAGTATCTTTCTTGTTGAGTGGTTAGCCCATTTTGTTTTATTCTCCCAACTTTCCTAAACAATATCGTTAAGTTGGCTTCTGAAATGATTTATTGCCATTTTATATCTTTGAATATACAAATCAAAATTTTTAAAAGTAAATAGATATTTTTGATGCATTACTGAATTGTATTACATAGTTTAGAAGGTTAAACTACTTCCTTTGAAATTCTAAAAAATATTTAGTAGCTAAAAAAAATAAAATTTCTAATACATATATAAGAAATA